CCCCCCCCCCCCCGTACGTGTGCAGCGAAACGAAAGGTACAAGGCGTTCGGCTGGTAAATAGGGAAGGTTAGCGTTCTTTCTTCTTTTTTCTGAGTACCCTGGCTTCAGAGGAAGGGGAGGACAGATGGAATGCGTAACAGTAGTTCAACATGCGGGGCAGCCCAAGCTGCAACCGACTTTAATCCTCCATGTTCCAAACCTTGCTTCTGCCAAGGAAACCGGACACGAAACAAACCAACATTAACCACCACCACCACAACAACAACAACAACAACAACACCAACAACACCAACAACAACAACAACACCAACAACACCAACAACAACAACACTCCAGCTTCTGTCCAAGGACAAAAACAACAGCAATAACAACAACGACAGAGGAACGTAGGAACAGCAGTCCACACACCTGCCCATGCTCGCCGCCGCCCCAAGTGTAGAGTTCCCCCGACTCCAAAATCGCCGCCGAGTGAAAGCCTCCGCACGCCACGTGTCCCACCCGCTTCCCCTTTAACGCCTGCAACAATCACGCCGCCGGAGACCCGCGGAAAGAAAAAACTGAGGTCACGGTGGGGGGCCTCGACGTCACAAATCAACACAACAGTTTCGGGGAAACACGGCCGTGTGAATCTATTAATAGAGAGGATCCCCTCGTGAGTGTGCATCCTTCAGAAGCGCCGGACGCTGGCCATCAACAGTAGTGGAGAATGTCCCTTTCCCCCTCGACCCTCCCCTCAAGGCCATCGGCCGCGTAGAGAAAATCAGGCCAAGCAGATGCGCGGCGCCGTTCGCTCACCTCCACCATTCGGGGCACCATCTGATTTCGTTCTATTCCATGACCCAAGCGTCCGAATTTTCCTAAGAAGGTGGGGGGGTGGGGGGGGGCAGAGGAGTGATATTGTGGCCTTTGAACGCTGGCGGTTCTCACAGCGACATGTTCCCTACCACAAAGAAAAGCAATGAACACAACACAAAGGGTATGGGATATCTAGGTCGACTCCCGCATTTCTGCCCACAGCTGGACGTGTTTTACCCTCATGTCTTAACTGGCGAAATAAAGACCGAGCAGAGGTTACGAGGGCAAACAGGCAACATGAATCAACAAGCTCTACGGCCAAGGTAAGATTGATTTACCCGCGCGGCACAACATTTGTCGGACCGACTTTCTTTGCCACTTCCGTGCGGCCAGTTGACCCTGCCCTAGCATCTGGGACCCCTACGGATGCTGCCCCCCGGTCAGCCCACAGGACCACGACGACAAACCACAACAGCAAACACAAATACCGTGTATGACACAAGATAATACACCCCCTGGACCGATTTTCAAAGCTCGATTACTCCACGACGAAGAGGACGCATAAACGAAATGATGCTTTTTCGAAAAGCTCTCGATGAGACCGTTTCAACGCCGCCGTTTTCGGCGCTGTGACTGTTCCTGCAGTAGAGAAATCGAGCTTCGAAAATCGGTCAAGGCGGTGTGTTATCTTGTGTCATATACGGTACTCCTCCGCCTTTTACATACTCTCCTGACTCTCTTCGTTCTTCTTCCCCACACCACAACAACGCGGTCCCACCGCGGAGAGCCGTGCGTCACCGAAAGCAGCAGCGGCAGCAGCAGAACAGCAGCAGCCAGCGCTACCCTCACCTTCCCCCCAGGTGAAGATCTCCCCCGCGTCGGTGAGGGCGGCCGTGTGGAAGCCGCACGCCGCCACTTGCGTCACGGTCTTGGCCTGAAGGGACTCCAGCATGCGGGGCAGGTACTGGTGGCCGTCGGCGTTGGTGTGCCCCACCACTCCGTTCTCTTTGTCCCCCCACGTGTACACCTGCTCGGAAAAAGCGGCGGCGGTGGTGGGAGTTCGGTCGCAAACGGGCAGGGCAGCGGGTGTACCACCCCTCTGTGGTTTTGCAGACACAACCAGTATTCTTCTTAAGCACGAAGTGCCGAGGCATCTTTGCTTTACTCCCGCTCTTGGAATCAGTTCCTTGGAGGAGCAGACAACGGCCCGTCTTGCTTCGAGCAACTGAGAGCACTCAACCGAGTACCCATCAGAATCGCTGGCTAGTTTTTTTCCCTTGGGGCCTATAAAAAGTGTTTAGTACGGCCAAGGCGGAGTGAAGAATAAGTCCACCAAGCGTCAAACAGAGCGCCATCAACCCCAGTCCAAGCACAACCGCAGCAAACAAGCTACTCCCAATCAGCAACAGCAGATGGGGTGGCCTGCAGGACTTCGAGGGCCGACAAAAACAACTGAATCTTGTCAGGCGTGTCCACTTCTCGTTTCTTCTTACAACACAAACCCAGCTCCTCCCCAGATAAAGTGTCTGGGATAGATTAGCAACAAAATAAGTAACTCATCGTCTGCGGAACCTATCGACCACATGTTATCTACGATTATCCCACCTTGCCCAGGTCCGTGAGCACGACGGTGTGGCGGCTGCCGCAAGCGATCTGCGTGACCCTCGCCCCCTCATCCCGAAGGTGCTTCACCATGCAGGGAGTGGGGTGCCCGCTCTCGTTACCGTGCCCCAGCTGTCGGGCAGGGTTAACGCCGCCGAGAGAAAAAAGGGGAAAACGGGCGTTGCGTAACGTATTACACATGACAAGTCTGCGATTGCTTTGAGCCTGAAACGAAAGAGCACCCCAAGGCGTCCGTGTGCCGCCCCTCGCCCCTGCCCCCTCCTTCGCCCGCGTACTAAGGCCGCACCGCTCGTCAAGCCTCGCAGTCTATGTCACCTTCCCGTACATGCCGCCTCCCCAGGTGTAGAGCTCTCCTTTGTCCGTTACGGCGGCTGTGTGGTAACTTCCGCATGTTGCCTGTCGAAGCAACGGGGTACACATTGAAACAGTGGAAGAGACAGGCAGAGGAATGGAAAATCGGGAATACAGTCGTCCCCGCTTTAAAGACACTCTTCTTAAGGAAACTCCCCGCTATTAAGACACATTTTTTCCCCAGAACATGGTGCCCCGCAGATGTACAATAATATAGGGGGGTAGCGTTTCCACTATGCGGCCCCCCAAAAAAAATTTGCTGGGGCAGCAAATCTGTAAGGCATTGTAACATCGACAGCGGTCTGCTGCATCCCGCACTACTGCGGGTGGGTATGGAGAGATTCCTCCCATCTGCTGGCGGGTCGTCAGCTGCCGGCTTGAGGCCATGTGGCGAACCCACGTGCCAGCAAAAGTCTCAACTCGTGTCAGCGGTTCACCAGTGCCCGTGCGGGCGACCCATGCACGCGTTTTGTGGTCGGCGCATCGGAGAGTAAAGCACTTTCATTGCCATAGTTCGTTGTTTGCCTTTGGTGAAGTCTCGTGAGGTTGAATTTGGCGTTTGTGTTGTGTTGTGCCTCGTTTTGACCTTTTGGGAGGCGCGGTGTCCTCTTTGTCGCTGTGCTTTCCCGACATTTTTGGTCTCTGTTTCTGCGTAACCTATATTTTCCTAGTGTCGTTTTACAACCTTCGATATTTCTCAGGTGCGGTAGCGAGATCTTGGGCAAGATATTCACGGGGAGGACAACGCCTAGAAAATAAAACAAAGCAAATAATTAAGCCCATATCAACACCAGCGCACTACCGTCGTGTACATGTACGATGCGTAGGTCGTAGAACACCATCGCTTTCAGCGTTTTGGTGGTACAGTACGGGGAAATTCAAACGATGGTATGCAAGTATGTATTGCAGCACAATAGCAGCAGTGGTTGCGACCTTCAACTCACCTTGTGTCGTAGGTTTCAAACAACACCTCTTGTGGTCGCCTTTCTGCTGCGAATGCGCACCTTTTGACATATGTTTCGCCTTCATTGGCCCCGGGGATGGTGCGTTAGTGGCCGCGGAAATCTAAAGACACTTCCCCGCGTTAAAGACACTTTTGGGGGGGGGAAACGTGGTGTGTCTTTAAAGCGGGGTCGACTGTATATACATCCGAGAGAGTCCTTTGTGGCCACCTGGCATGATGGTCTCGTCAAGAAAACAAAGCCAACAGACCACATCTTGACAAAAAAAACACACATGCAATCTTGGTGCGAGAAACGTAGGTGCTGACGGTAACGCCGTGCAACCGACTACGCCACCATATTCCCTAGTTTCACTACAATACAGTGGCCAATAGTGGCGACAGGAAAGGCTGGAATCAGGCGCATGTTCACATGCAGTTACGGCCACAAAAAACGTAACATAGTAGCGCCGTGGTAAAACACGTTCATAGGTACATACCGTAGAATGTATCGTCGTATTTTCCCTACCGATCATCTAGCTCGAAACGAACTTGAGCAACGCGTGAGGCAAATGTATGACACACCAATACGTGACACACAAACGGTACAGTTGAGAGCAAGAAAGAGCCGGTTCTCGCCCACCCTGCATGCACGGCGCACCTGCCACCGGTCTCTCACACACGACACCATCTCAAATCTTCACCAACCCACCCAAGACGCGCCTCCTTTCGGGAATCACTTAACCACTAGACTCTCAACACCTGAAGCCCTCCTCCCAATTTTCAACCCGGCCTGCTCCGTCCCGGCTTTGTAGGAATGCAAGGTCAACGGTCTGACGACTACGGCATGCACGAGTGTGAGCACACACCCTGTCCCACTTACGGTCGCACCAACCTCCAAGCCCCTTACTCGAGGCGAGCCACAGCGCTCTCTCTAACCCGGCTTAGTTCACTCACAGCAGTCTAACCGCATACCTGCACGATTCGCTGCCCCTCCAGCGCCTCCACAATCCGCGGCACGTACTTCCAGCCGTTGTCTCCGTGCCCGAGACGCCCGTCGTCTCCACGCCCCCATGTGTACACAGCACCGTCCTCTGACAACAAGTGAAATATCGACAGAAAAAAAAAGAGGCGTTACGTCACCGCCTTTGTGTGGTGGTGACCCGAAATGGGACAAGGGTGTTTCTCAGTATCATCGCTCGCATCGAGGGTGAAGTAGGGGGCCTGGTCGATGCACTCGAATCAGAAAAACAGGGTCCTCCACGACGCGAGAGGAAGCATCGCCGGCAGGCCTTGGCACCGCCAGGATCATCACAACCAACATCGCTTTGCCGTCACAGCAGGGGCGACAGGGGCGCGCTGGCGGGACACGCCTATCGGATGCGGC